TCATCAGGGTTTGTGGGAAACAAGAAACCCATCTTTGCCTTGCAAAGGAAGGGGCATAAACAATCTCCAGCACAGCGCCCCATATCGACTGGCAGCTGCCACAGCCTGCACAGCGGAAAGCCAGCTGTTGGATAAAAGGAGCTTCCGGTTCTCAGAGCCACGCAGGTGGACTGAGTTTTTCTAATCTCTTGGGTTTTCCAGGTGGATACATAAAGCATGTTTAAAACTGTAATGTTTTTCTCATCACTGCATTTCCAAATCCTACTTATTCTTCAGCATTGAGCTCATCTTATTTTCTGTCTTGAATTATGATGTTAAATAATGGGAACATTTTTAGACTATGGAAAAGTACAGAAGTATAGAGAATAATGTAGCAAACTATTGTGTACTATTAGATAATTTTTATTTAATAAAAAAATGTTTACTAATGGTGTAGTTTTTGAAGTAGCTTTTCTACCTAATCCCAACATAATTATGTGTCCTTCACCCCAGAAGCAAGGTGTACCTTACAGCTGGGCTGTTAGGTAGAGTTTTTGAATGGTTGTGCCCTTTTCTGGATCTTAGATTTTTTTTCAAGATATTCAATTCCAGCCCCAGCTGGTTTGGCTCAGCAGTTGGAGCATTCACCAGGACCAAAGAGTGGCATGTTTGAGTCCGATCAAGGGCATGTACCTCGGTTGTGGTTTAGTCCCTGAACCTGGTCGGGGTCGTGCGGGAGGCAACCAATCTATGTGTCTCTCTCACATAGATGTTTCTCTCTCTCCCTCCCACTGTCTGAAAATAAATGGAAAAATATCCTCACATGAGGACCTAAACAAAAAAGCAGTCCAATTCCAGCTCTCTAACGTGACCAAGCACTGTGACCCCTTCCCCACGAAAGCATTAGAAGATGCTAAGGCACAGGCTCTCTGGAGCTTCGGCTGGGCCATTACTGTACCCACCAGCCCTCTTGGACCTCCCCGGCTCCCTCTGGTTCCTATGGCACTGAGCATTCGGTCCACTTTCCAGTCACTCATTTTGTGCCTCCTTTATGGATAGAAAATGTTTTGTTTTCTAATAAGACTATACAATCTTAAATCGGTATCATTCTCCTTTTAGATCAAAATGGTGGAAGGCCCTGTAAGAATTCTTACACTAGAGTAGTTTACACTTGTAGGTGGTCTCTTCATGAGAAAGTGTATACACAGAAGTGTGCCTCATTTTATAGACTAGATTATATTGCAACCATCTGATGGTTATTAATAACCTACTATGATCCACTTTGTGAATTACACATTATAATTATATAAGAAATGTATAAAGATTTATAAATGCATTATTAAAGAATCATAAATGAATGAGGAGCTATTACAGTTGTACCACAAACATACAAAAGGTTGTAAGAGACTACTATGAACAATTATATGTCAACAAATTGGACAACCTATAAGAAATAGATAAATTCCTAGAAACACACAATTTACCAAGAAGTAAACATCTGACCAGACTGATTAATAGTAAGGAGACTGAATCAATAATAATGATTTTTTTAAAACTCTAGCAAACAAAATCCAGGACCAGATCGCTTCACTGATGAACTCTACCAAACATTAAAAAGAAAAGGTTAATATTAGTCTTCCTCAAACTTTCCCAAAAAAACAGAGGAGTAGGAAATGCTTCCAAATTCACTTTATGGGGACAGCATTACCCTGATAGCAAAATTGGACATGAATGTCACAAGAAAAGAAAAGTACAGGTGATGAACATAGTGAACCTTGATGAAAATATCCCTGATGAACATAGATGCAAAAATCCTCAACAAAATATTAGCAGACTGAATTCAACAGTACATTAAAAAGATGTTATACCATCCTTGTTCAGTTTCTCAGTTGGTTGGAGCATCATCCATATACCAAAAGGTTGTGGGTTTGATTCCTGTGTTCAATCCCCGGTCAGGGTATGTACTAGAGGCAACCAATCGATCTCTCTCCCTTTCTCTCTCTCTCTAAAAATCAATGAAATAAAAACATATCCTTAGGTGAAGATTTTTTAAAAAAAGAATGTCATTCCATGATCAAGTGGGATTTATTACAGAATTGCAAGGATGGTTCAACATCTACAAATCCGTCAATGTTAGACACCACATTAACAAAATTAAGGATAAAAATCATATGATCATATCAATGAATGTAGAAAAGACATTTGACAAAATTCAATATCTATTTTTGATAAACACTCACCAAGGAGGGAACACACGTTAGCATAATGAAGGTCATACACGACAGAGCCGCAGCTAATAGTATATTCAATGGGGAAAAGCTGTAAGCTCTTCTAAGATCAGGAACAAGGTTAGGATGCTCACTTTCACTTTTATTCAACATAATAATGGAAGTCCTAGCCAAATCAATTAGGCAAGAAAAAAGAAATAAAAGACATCTAAACTGCAAAGGTAGTAAAACTGTCACTATTTGCAGATGACATATTATATATAAAAAACCCTAAAGACTCCATCAAAAAATTGTTAAAACTAATAAAATAATTCACTAATATTGCAAAATCAATACAAAAAAAAATCTGTTGCATTTCTATACACTGATAACGAACTATCAGAAAGTAAAATTAAGAAAACAATCCTATTTACAATTTCATCAAAAAGAATAAAATACCAAATAATAAATTTAACCAGAGTGAAAGACTTAGATACTGAAAACTATAAGACAGTAAGTAAAGAAATTTAAGAAGACACACACAAAAAAGGAAAAATATTTTGTGCTCGTGGATTGGAAAAATGAATATTGTTAAAATGTCCATACTTCCTAAAGCAATCTGAAGATTTTATACAGTCTTTATCAAAATTCCAATGGCATTTTGCATAGAAATAGAAAAAACAATCCAAAAAATTATATGGAACGACAAAAGACCCTGAAGAACCAAAACAATGTTGATAAAGAAGAACAAAGTTCCTTGATTTCAAATTCAATTACAAAACTATACTATTAAAACAGCATGGCATTAGCATAAAAAACAGACACAGAGATCAATGGAACAGAATAGAGAGCCCAGAAATAAACCCACAGATCATTTATGACAAAGGAGCCAAGAATATACAATGGGGAAAGCACAGTCTCTTTAATAAATAGTGTTGGGAAAACTGGACAGCCACATACAAACGCATGAAACTGGACCACTCTCTTACACTGTATGCAAAAGTTAACAGAAAAATGCATGAAAGACTAGACTGTAAGACCTGAAATTATAGAACTCTTGTAAGAAAGCATATGTGGTAAACTGACATAGGCCTTGACGATGATTTTTGAATCTGACACGAAAAGTTAAAGCAAAACAAAAGCAAAAATAAATAAGTGAGATTACATAAAACTACAAAACTTCTACACAGCAAAGTAAACCACTGGTAAAATAAAAAGGCAACCTACTGAACAGAAGAAAATATTTGCAAATTTGATAAGAGGTTAATATCCAAAATTCAAAGAACTCATACAACTCAGTAACAACAAAAAATCCAATTTAAAAATGAGCAGAAGATATGAAGAGACATTTTTTCCAAAGATGACCAACAGGTGTATGAAAAATGCTCAACATTATTAATCATCAGGGAAATGTAAATTAAAACCACAATGGATAGCACTTGACACCTGGTAGAATGGTTATTATTTTAAAAAGAAAGAAAAAAAGAAATAACAAGTATTGGTGAACGTGTGAAAAAAAGGGAACCCTTGAGCACTGTTGATGGAAAAGTAAATTGGGATAGTGACTATGGAAAACAGTATGGAGGTTCCTCATAAAATTAAAACAGACTATCATATGATCCAGTAATTCCACCTCTGGGTAGTTATCTGAAGAAAGTGAAAAAACTAACTTGAAAAGGTATGTGCACCCCCTTGCATTGCATACAATAGCCAAGATATGGAAACAACTTCAGTGTCCTTTGATGGATAAATGCATAAAGACATTGTTTTAGATATACGTACAACACTCAATGGAATAATATTCAGTCACAAAAAAAGAGTGAAATCTTCTTATTTGCTCCAATGTGGATGGACCTCAAAGGCATTCATTATGTTAGGTGAAATAAGTCAGACAGAGAAAGATAAATACTGATGATCTCTCTTTTACATGAAGTCTAAAAAAAAAAAAGCTCATAGATATAGACAATAGATTGGTAGTTGGCAGAGGTGGGGGGTTGAGGATGGCATAAAAATAAAATATTATCAAATATATATGTATTAAATGTATAGTTTCCCTATCTTACATAATATCTCAAATGATTATGGTGCGTTTTTGAAAATAGATAACTATGGTTAAATGTAGTAATGCACCCATTACTTAAATTAAGGCTGTATTATTAATTTCATAACTTGATTTGTATTTTAGGAAATTTTAGGTGTTCGGTTGTCTTTGTCCAAAACAACTTGAAAATTAAGAGTGTTTGCCCAAACAATTGAATAAGAATTGTTTACTTTAGACCAAATCACCAGTACCATTGGTTTCTTTACCTTGAAAATGCATCATTGCACCTCATTCTTTGCCTTGCATTGGCATCAGAACACTATAGAGAGAGACTGTCAAGTCTGGTGTTGTGGAACCTAACACAGCATCTTCCTTTCTGTGATTGCGTGTGAACACCAAGTAAAGCCGTCCTTCAGCTTGGATTACTGAAATACACTTGGCTGCATATTCCATTCTGTCATCAGGATATGAAAACAAGGCTGAATAAACCAACACACATTTCAGTGAAATTCTTTATGAATTGATCATTCATATACCTTATTGATTAACACCAGACAGATTGCATTATTATACCATGCACCATCTTTTTAACTAAGACCATTTAGATTTTCATGGAAAATATCCCTATAATGTTATCTCCATTAAAATGCAACAAAGCACCATGAGTGTAAATGTATCAAAGTGACAGAAATTGTTGTGGTCAATCATCGGTCAGGAGTGGAATATCCTGAACCGAACACTGAACTATAACTTGGCTCTCTTTGTTTCCCCAGACACTGCAAATGGATGTCAACAAGCTGAACATAACCTTGCTTCGACTGTTCCGCCAGGGAGTGGCGGCAGCTTTAGGACTCTTACCCCAGCAAGTGCACATCAATCGCCTCATTGTAAGACGCCTCCATTTCAAGTTCAAGCATTGATCTTTATTGAAGGTCTCAGTAGTAAAGAGCAATAATTTAAAACACCTATACTATCATTCCATGGCCCCTGAGCCAAAGCTGGCTTACTGGCAGTTTTTGTAAAGAAAGTTTTATTGCAATAAGCTACAGCCAGTTGTTTACATATTGCCTATGGCTACTTTTATGTTACAATGACAGAGTTGAGTCATTCTAACAGATTGTTTGACTAAATCTAACTCTCTGGCCCTTTAGAGAAAAAATGTATCAACCCTCCCACAGTTCAAGGCTAGGACCCTGGTTGGTTTGAATAGAGCGGCCCCAAAATACTCCTGTCACCAACCTGACACTACACCCAAAATATTCTTCCTAAGAGTGAGACCTTCGGTGTCCATTACAGCACTGTCTTCAGACAGCACCTATGAAAACTCCTTCAAGCATAGCAGTAGGATGAAGGATACTGAATGCACAGAGAGAATTTTGATGAAATAATAAAGAAAAGCAAATCCTTGAAGATAGCATTCCAAATGGAATGCAAGAGCAGGTGGTCGGAAAAGCCTCGAGAAGGCGTGGATAGGTATTGAGGTGAGGATGGGGCAAACCCAAAGGAGTTTTTGTACAGAGCCCACTTTAGACCCATCAATCGATCTCCCACATCCGTTCTTCTCCCCTCTTCTCAGCGCTTGGGAACCTTGATGTCATCCAACTACTCGTGCCCATCTGTATTTGAAGGTGCGCCTGAGCGAAGGCAGAGAAAGGCCAACTCCTAGCGGATGACTTTCTCTTTGTAAAAGGCTAATTACCTAAGGTTCCTGTGCAAAGGGACTTGGGAATCATCTTACAGTTTTAAAATTGTTCTTAATTTCCACTGCAATGGGAACTCAAGCAAGAACTGCATGTTCTCCTTGCCTAGATTCTGATTCCCCTGTTTGGGCTCGACTTTCCACCGAACCAACCTCTCATTTCCAGCCCTGGAGAAGAATTTGCTTTTTATTGTGGTTTAGGGTTTTTGTTTTTTGTTTTTGTTTTTGTTTTCATTGTTATGTGTGTGGATGGGGCAAGTTGTTTCATTTCCCATAATGACTTTGTTCTCTAAGTCAACTATTTTCTGGGACTAAATATGCTTACAAACCAAAGTTTTTAACTCAGTACCATGGGAAAGAAAATACAGTATTTCCTAATACCCTGAAAGAGGGAAATGGGTTATATCCAAAGCATACCTTGCTTAACTGAGAAGATTTAGGTACTATAGTTGTCTTAGCACTAGATTTAGATTTTATATATATAAAATAGGTCTTTGCAGGGATAATAAAGGGGTTTTCCTCACCCAGACAGGGACATGCATGTCCCAGGAGAATGTTACTAGCATGTACACACATCTGCTTCTTAGAGCAGTTATTATGATGGGTAGAGTTATGATAATACCCGAAGCAGCAGCGCATGGTGATGAAGATCGTGTACCCCATTTCCAGCTTGGCCATGTCCCGTGTATGACCTTACGCAAGCTACTTATGTTTCTTCATTTGCAAAATGGAGAGAATTATAACACTGACATCCTGGAGGGGTTTTGAGTATTAAAATGAGATAACAAATTTAAGGTACATCTGAGCGTGTCAGGCCAAAAGCAATCGCTCTATTCCTATTATCGTTGTTATTAGGTCATAAACTATTTAAGTTATTATAAACATGTCTGACATCTGTATTACGCTATACTTCATTGTTGTCACTTTTTCCCTGCGAACACAGAGAATGTTATTTTTCTGGATTGCTAGTAGTATTTTCATACTCCATTTTATCCTTGGCTGAACTCATAAATTGCATTAAAAGGAAGTTTTCTAACATGCAAGAACTCCGTGTCAAAAAGGAAAGACCAGCAGTAACTCCCCCCATAAGTACATTGTACAACTTGTAAAGAGAATCAGTCAGAGGCGATGGCTTTGTGTGATGTTTATTTTTTGTGTGTATGTGTCCTGTCTGCATTTATGGGAGAAAAAAATCCTCTGTCTCCATTTCAACTAATGAGGTAATCCTGATAGGAAAGTATCATGATGTTACTGTGCAACATGCATTTCTACCCAAGGATGGACTTTAAAATGTGACATTTGAGGTGGAGAACACAATCAGGCAAGTGACCCCAGAGCTCACGTAGCATCACCTTCCTTACTGAGTCCAGCCTTCCATTAAAACACATTATAAGAAAAGTAAACGGAGTGGCGATGCCTAATAATTGTACTGTTGCATCAGGTTTTATTCAATTCACTGGGTTTTACAATTCTTCTTTGAATGTAATTACTCAGGGAACATCTGAACAGTATATTTCAAAACAAGCAAAATAGTGACAGAGTCAGAGAGCAGGCTGACAGCTTTGGGGTTCGGTGGGAGGCAGGGGGATGGAGGGATTGAGCAATAAAGGCGGAAAAGGAGAAGGAACTCATGGACAGCAGTGTGGTGACTGGGGAGGGGAGGGAGGGGGAAGTGGGGTTGGGGGGTATAAATAATGATGACAAATTCAAGTTTAAAAAATCACAGTATGGAATAGAAAATAAACCAGCATCCAGTGAAATATAAAATTAAAAATATTGAGGTGTCAGTTACTTAAAAGAAAGCTATATGAAGACTTCAAACTCTGGGCTGGTATTACTAAGTGTACCAGAGAATCACTAATAAATGTAATCTCCAAGGTGCCTTTTCAGATTCTAGAGTTCCTCCCTCGCCAGTGTGGCACCAAAAGGTTGCTGGTTCGATTCCAGGTCGGGCACATGCCGGGCTGCAGGCTCCATCCCCAGTAGGGGGTGTGCAGGGGGCGGCCAGTCAATGTTTCTCTCTCCCTCTCCCTTCCGCGCTATCTAAAAATCTTAAAAAAAAAAAAAAGATTCTAGGGTTTCCACGTTCTTTGGTGTTTCTAGAGGAAGGTAGAATAGTTCCCAAAGCTGTTTAAAAATGTCTATTAACATAGGCAAATAACCTGCCTTTACCAGGGAAAGAAGAACAGTGTGGAACTCTTTGTGTCTCCCATAAACCGAAAAGGAGGGGTTTCTGACGCCCTGCTGTCTGAGGAAGTGCTGCGTTCACTTAATACCGATGTTTTACACCAGAGTTTATCCCAGTTTGGAATCACCGAAGTCTCCCCTGAGGTATGTTGTGGCTCGGAAGATCTCATCCGAAAATCTGCACATTTAGCATAACCTGGTAACCCAACCTCAAGAAGCTTTGGCATTAATGCTGTTTATTGTATGTTATTTGATAATAAAAATCTCCCCAAGAGTCAGAATTCTCTGATCTTCACCCCATGTATGTTTATTCCTTATGGAAGTTCATTTTCACATCAATTTCCATTTTTGACACTTTCTTCTCTAAATCTTTATGGCCTTGTAATTTATTTTGACTTATTCAGTACATTGTCTAGAACAAAGATCATTTAGATATCTTTGCCAGTTGGTTATTTGAAACTGAAATGTCCAAAAAACACACTCAAATCTTTCTTCCTCGACAGGTGCACCCTCCTCATTGCCTCCATGGGCAAAATAGTCACCAAATAGTCACCGTGTTCCCCAACCGTGGAATTAATTTGAAATGTGATTTTTCTTTTGCTGAAGATCCCATTCTTAAGAACTGTGGGTATTTTCCAAATTTGACAGTTTAAAGTTCCCCTACCAACCACACTATTCTCACTCTTTGATGAATTCTGTCCCTTTTCCGCTCTTCCTATTCCATCCCATACCAGGAAACTCACTAGAATGATCATTATCTTAAACATATGTAATTAAATTCACCGAATCACAGAATCAGACCTGGAGGAAACATACGGGAACATTTTTATAGGTACAAAAGTTCAACCCATAGAAATTAAGTGATATCATCAAGGTGACAAGGCATGTAAGCTATAAAGCAATGTTGAAAATCTAGACATCTTGTTTCTTAGTCTGTCCCATTTTTCAGTAAAGCACAATGCCTCTCCTTTCAGCAAATATCACGGGTGTGGTGTTGGTACAAGATTGCATTTGAAACCCAAAGTCACCTAAGATGTATGTGTGACCTTGGGCAGGTGATTTAATGTCTGTGAAATCAAGTCTTTTTGTGGTGTCAGACTCGCTGAGGCTCAGTTTCTTCATATCCAAAATGGGTATAAGTTAAAAAAAAAAAATGGGTCTAGTCCTTATTTTATAGAGTTGAAATATGAATTAATTTGTTTAATATTTGTGAAAATCCTCATATACGGTAGGCACTGAACAAATATTTTAATGCAGGATTGATTGGCAGAATGAAAATGTATGTCATTGAATTGTGACTATAACAACCTTCAACTGGTTTTTCTGCACTTAGCATCGCTCTGATCCCTGCCCTACACACACACACACACACACACACACACACACACACACACACACACAGTGTCTTTTCTCTCTTGGCACCAGGGTAATCTTTCTAAAATAAATCTGGCCATGCCCTTCTAATGTTATGATTCTTCCTTGGCCTCCTAAACGCTACAGAATCAAACGTGCCATTTCTAAATATGGCATATGATACTTTGTGTGCTAGGCTTCATCATTGTTGAATAATACCCTCCTCGTTTATGCTTCAGCAATTCCAAACTTCATAGGTACCGTGACACCCCCATACTTTCTCTTCCCTCCATGCTTTTGCACACGTTGCTCCATCTATACACCTTTCATGTTTCGAGATCAGTCTCCTGTACCCTCCCTGTGCCTCCACACACGTGAGTGCTCAGCCATGTGGGTTCTCGTCGAGCTCAGTGTGAAAACTCCTCATCCTCTGCTGTTCTTCAAGTCCATCTCTGCACTGCCGTTCCCTGGGAGACATGCCAGCTCATTTTATCCGTGTCCTTGGTGCCTTCATTCAGTGCCTGGCATTCAGTGGGCACACAAGTAGCCTGACACTGTGCTAGTGGTATTCAAAGTCAGAAAAATAAATGAATAAGCAAACAAAATATGATTGTTGCTTTCACTAGGTTCATGTTCTAGTAGGGCGAATGAGACACAAGCAGGCGAGAGAACGCAGGGGTATGACAGCATTACCATGCTGTGCCATGGGGAGCTTTGAGGAAGAGGCCACCTCATGCTTCGAAGAGACCAGAGGAAAAGACCAGCATAAGCCCAAGCACCCACTCCCCTCCCAGCCCTACCTGCCTGCGACTCTGCAGGGCCTCTCCTTTGTGCATCGAACCCAACCCTTACAGTCCAGGTCCCTCACGGGCTGACTTTCACACATTTTCCCCAGGACAATTCTTTAAAATTTAAAAAGACCATTGGATTAATTTATTCTACTTCCTGTCAGCTTTCAGGAGTGACTTATGTAATCCTTCTTCCCTGGTGCTTTATTCTGAGTTTAAATGCCACTCTTAATGCTTTAAGAACATGGCAGCTCAGTGACTCATCCAGATTTGTGAACCAAGAGAATCTCACCATACAAAACACCAGGTGAAATCAAGTACGCATTGGAGGGTCCTCCAACACACCCCAGCTTGGTGAAGGTGAAGAGCTTATCCTCACTGCCTATCACAGAACTATTAGCCCACAAGACCACAGGGCTGTACTTTAATAATGAAAGTGTATTTCATGGTCAATGTTTAATATTTTCTTATGAAATCGTGGGAATCTAGGAAATCTAGACACTGGGAAATACCATGTTGCAGGAGACTAGAAAGTATTTTAATTGGCTATAAAGGGCATTTCCTCCAGGACAGGTGAATGGATCCAGCCTTCTGCTTGGGCACTTTTTTTTTTTAAATCCTCACCCCAGGATATTTTTCCATTTTTTGTTCAGACAGAGTGGGAGGGAGAGAGAAACATCGACGTGAAAGGGACACATTGAGTGGCTGCCACCCGCATGACCCAACCAGGACCGGGGACAAACTGCAACCGAGGTACATGCCCGTAGTGGGAACCGAACCCGGGTCTCTCTGGACCGCAGGCCGACTCTCTAACCGCTGAGCCAAACTGGCCAAGGCTGCTTGGGCACTTTTAAAAGCGGCCCAGCATTGCACTCTAACCTGCAGCTCGAAACACAGAAACAGCCCGTCCTCATGGGGGACTCAGACTCGCGCGGCCAAAGGGGCGCTGCTGAAGCGTTTGCGGAGAGCGGTCAAGCCGGCGATGGCAGCCTGGGGGTCCCCGCTGTCCCACTCATGCTCTGTGGTTAGTGTGTGATGACAGCTGATGCCCCCGCCCATGCTTTCACATTTTTATCTTAAAACTCTAGTTCTGCGATGGGAGCATGTTTATTAAGAGGAAAAAAAATGAATACTGTCATTTTGGTTTTCCATCCTTTACATGGATGACAGAACATTGTGAGTCATGTCTCAAAGCATCTTTTCCTAAACTTATGTTATCTACTTTCAGGGAAGGATGTATTTTTTGTTGTTGCCATTTCTTTATTGGCTTGGTTTTTTTTTTTAGAAATAACTTTTGGGAAAGAAAAATACCAAATAGAGAATTACTTTTGTTTATTGTCTGTTTTCATTTTGAATCTATGTCTTTTGGGGGACAAAGGGACATTTAAAAAAATATTTTTAGTGCAGTATCTAGAACACTGTAGGCGCACAAATATTACTTTAGTATAAGATGCTCTTAAAGATAAAACTAGATTTCTTGCCTATTAAGTCAAATCTCAGGGAAATAAAATTAAATTCATTACTTTAGTTTCCATTAATAAATGCTTTTATAAAATTAAGTAATCTATTGAAACAATATGTCCTGCATTCACACTAAAAAGGATTTAGCCCTGGCCCGTGTTGCCCAGTGGTTAGAGCATCGGCCCGAGGACCAAAGGGTCTCAGGCTCAATTCCCCGTCAAGGACATGTACCTGGCTTGCGGGTTCGATCCCCGGGCCTAGTCAGGGCATGTACTGCAGGTAACCAATCGATGTGTCACTCTCACATCAATGCCTCTCTCCCCACACCTTCCACTCTCTCTAAAAATCAGTGGAAAAAATATCCTCAGGTGAGGATCAACCAAAAAAAGAAAAAGATTTAGGATTTGGTTGTTTTTGTTCAGTTACCATTGACTCCAGTTTTATAGGTTTTATATTGCAAAGGAGGTAGTTGCTTTCTTTAAGTAACAGGCCAGTGTCAGCTGATACTTCCATTGAATATTTGCAAAGAGAAAATATCCTACCAAATAAATACAAACCGGAATCCGGGAGGTTAGTGCTTGTTCCCTTGTACTAGGAGCATGAGCCTGCAGTCCGAAGAGTTACAGTCCCAGCCATACGGTGCTGAGGCCGAGGACTGGTAACATAGGTCAGATCATTCAGACGAGTTGTCCGCCCTGTGCATTGCACAGTGAAGTGTGGCTTCACCCAACAAAACCATCTCGTAGGTGCACCTCATTAATTGGATTAAGTTCATCACTTAACCAGAGATTTTGTAATATTTCTAGTTCATTCTTATTATGTGTGCTTCATCTCTCCCAAAGAGATAAATCTCCTAAAGTCTCTGTATCAGATCTCCTAGTATTTGGGAATCTCCCTCACCATCTGGTATCATAATTTATTTTATTTTATTTTTTTTTATCCTCACCCGAGGATATTTTTCCATTTTTTGTACAGATAGAGTGGGAGGGAGAGAGAGGAACAGAGAGAGAGAGAGAAACATCAACGTGAAGGGACACATCGAGTGGCTGCCACCCGCACGACCAACCAGGGCCGGGGACAAACTGCAACCGAAGCACGTGCCCTTAGCGGGAACCGAACCCGGGTCTCTCCGGACCGCAGGCCGACGCTCTAACCGCTAAGCCAAACTGGCCAGGGCCATAATTTATTTTTTTTAAAGCAAAACTAGAGTGCATCAAATTATTAAATGAGATATAAAGAAGCAATTCTTATGGATCCAGTGATACAAGAAACTTCCCAAATTTTAAATCATAAAACAAAACAAAACCCAACAACTTCCAATGCAACAGAGTTCAAGAGCAAATATTGTTAAGAGTGTTTGAAATAAGAGGTAAAAGTGGTAGAGCAGCATTGGTTGGACCTGGCCGTGGGGTCTGAATTATGAAACCCTCTGACAAAATATAAAAAGCATCACTTTAACCTCATGCAAAGGTTAGATGGGAGAGTCCTGTGAATTATACTCTTCTGATTTGTGGAATCTTAACTACAAACTTTTCCATTTATTACCCGACCCTTATCAAGGCTTTTGGATCTCTGCACAAATATAGTAGTGCTCAGCAGGAATAGCATGACTCAGAAGGAAATCTATTTACCAAGAAAGTGCAGTGACTAAGTTCTGAGAGTACAAAACATGTGTCTTTCTGACTGGGGGTGGGAGAGTGGAGGGTGGGAGGTTAATTCTTCCATCATCACTGCTTTGGTTAAAAGAGAAACAAAACAGATTTGTCTTAAACAGAAAGGAACATGTTGATATTGCAGGAGGTGTGCGACTATAGCAGGAAGAAAAGAAATGAGCCAGATCAGGTTAGGAACACAAAATCTTTCCACCCACCTAACCACCCCTTTTTATCCAAATTTTACATTAACTAAAGCTCAGATCCTCATACTTAAATTTGACAAGTTTATGCTGCCTACTTGAAGGCTTAACTAAGTTGTTTGCTTTGTAGCAAGCCACAGGTGCTGGTTAGCTGCCTGCCAAAAACTCATTTACATATTTGTACTTGATTGCTTTTCAAGAGTGTTTTGTGGTGTTTTTTTGTTTGTTAGTTTGTTTTATTAGTTGCCAGCTATATTATGGACACATTGGAATAAAATATGATCTGGATGGTGTAAAAGAGTAAAAGACGAGTTGTCACTAGAACCCAAGGTTTCCTTTTCAGAAAGATGTTGGTTTCTAATCATTTCATCAAGCATTTCACATTCTCCATTCACTTACCATTTACATATTTTTAAAAATATATCTTGAAATCATTTTTATATCCATGAATTTGTCTGTGTCTTAGAAAGTAGGCAAGATAATCTAGTACGCACATCAATGTTTTACAAGCAACGAAAAATAGACACGCAGCAATTCCAAGCAATAAAAGATCCCCTCAAATTGTTTTTCATCACTATTTAACTCAGTTAACTCAACAGACCCTTTCTACTTTGTCTCAGCTCCCCACCAAGACTCACTTGAGTTCCAAGATAAAAGTTTTCATAAAATGTTTTTTTGAGGCAAATATTTCTTTTTGTCTCATTTACAAATGGTGAATGCATTCTATTATGTTTAAAGGCTTGAAAAATAATTAGCGGTGATTTCTAAGTTCAGACACAAGGACAGGTTTTATTCAAGGCTTTCTTTCCTTTTCTTCGACTACCACTTCTTCTTTGTCACAATCCTGTGGGTTAACTAGCATCAACCAGGTTGTTCTGTCCCAGGTGGTACGGGCTGAAGTCATCCCAGTGGTGGGAACTCATTTGTGGCTGAAATGTCAACCTGACCTCTCATTTTCCAGGGCCTTTCTCCATGTGGCTTTTCAGCATTCAATATCTTGTTGTTCAAGGCTTTCTTAGTCGCTGGAGACCATATCCCAGGGCAGACACATTCTCACAAAAGGGGGGAACGGCAGCCGTCAGCAAATGGAAACATTTTACTCGATCTAGCCTTGATATGTTTTTCCTAACTGTGGGCCATTTGGTCCAGGTTAAAGTTTCTTTAACCATAAATTAATACATTTCCACTGATTCATAAAACTAAATGCATTCTGAGACTCGATTTAGTGGATATGCTTCTTTAAAGAATAGGTAAAATAAAATTAAGACACTCATTCACATTTTATTCCTACTTCTCTACCCTTCCACCCCCAAAGTAGTAAACAAACAAAAAAAAGTATATATAAAAATAAAACTATTTCACATTTCATTACTAAATAATCCTGAACTTTGCAGTGTTCCCTGATGTTTAAGTAAGATATAATATTCTAACAAGTTATGTAGTGGAGGTGGAAATTCAATCACATTTTGACAAATAGGACTGCATGGAAAAATACAGAGGTTTGATAAAAGAGAGAAAAAAAAGAAGGAAGTGATCCTGACATTGTTGCTGTGTTTCTTAATGCCTCATGAGATACATTTTTTGCACCTGTTTCACTTTTGTTGAAAAGTTAAGAGCTGTGTTATAGCTTGAACCAGGGTGTTGTGGGAGGAGGGGACTTAGCTCCAGAAACAGTTTCCTCAACACAGAAAAGAACAGAACTCTTACCTATGGACCAGGTCACTTCCAAGACAGACTGGACGGGACATTCACGAAGCCTGGGACCCGGACCTGCCAGGCTGGGCAGGCTCGCTCCTGTACAGGAGATAAAAGAGTCTCTGCCTGTCTAAGGCGGCAGAGCCTGTGTCAGATCAGTTTGAGAAGCAGCTCTGCAGCGGGGAGTGTAGGTGTTTCTACTACACTGAATGGAATCAAGCTAAAAATATGTTTAGTGTCTGATAAGAAACGCCAGTCTCCTCAAGCTCTCATTTAACGTCGGACTTTCTGTTTTGCTTTTAAAGAAAAATGTTTTACAAGGGCAGCATGAAGCGGACAAAATCTGGAGCAAAGAAGGATTTTATGCTGTTGTCATATTTCTCAGCATCTTTGTTATTATAGTAACGTGCTTGATGGTAAGTTTGCTTCTTTATATATTTTATCCTTTGCTGAGCTCACTGCTTAATACGATTGGATACATTTGCCATTCAAATGAATGCTGAAAAGGCCGGGAATAGAAGCCAGACTAGGATCCTGCTAAGTGAGGGGGGTTTCATACCTGCCAGCGGAGTGATGGGTTCTGACCTGCAGACCGAAGCTGGAATTGCACTCGGGCTTTTAGTAACTTGATCAACCCTGAGAATGAAGCTTTAGGAAGTGATTCCCCGAGGTCACTAAAGCTCTCAAAGTCATGTAAGTCTCATGGGCACACTTTGGGCTTACTTTATTTCTTCACTTATAACATTTTTATGGACCTCAGAAACATTTTAAAAAAGAAATATGTCTTAGGGGCAAGCTTACTCCTTAAAAAGTGGTTGATTTACTCATTTTTAAAGGGCTCTGAATGTATTTTATGAAATGCTAGACATGAAAAGGAAATTATTATAGACTCAAAGGCTATACAATTCACTACGAACTAATTTTTTTAGGTGAATGAGTACTATAAAACTATAACTGCAAATCGCTCTGCAAATGACAAATTATAAATGTGAAGCCTTTAAAAGTATATTTCTAATTTACAAAACAGAACCCAAAGTAAACCTAAACTCACTAACCTACGCAGTGCTCTTTGGTAGTGAATGAGTTAACAGGTACGTTTCAAATAGAAAAAGATTTTCTTATTCTTTTGAAAATTCTGTGACTTAAAATATTTGAAGTTTACAAATGGGTTTTAATAACATTTTCTGTGTGCTTCATTCTTTTTTAATTTTGCACATTTTAGAAAACATTCTTTCCTTAGTTTTCAAATGCCCCAGAAAAGGCATCTTTATGCTCTTTGCAATCAACAGCGTTGCTGGTGTTTTATTGGATTTTGTTTGTTCATTTGTGCTCCCCCTGCTGGGAAGGGGTTTATGTTAGAAAGATCAGGGCTGTCTGGAAAGACAGAGGCTGAGTAGGTCGAAACTTGAAGGATATAAAACAATAAAGGCCTTGATTAGGGTGAAGATAAGCATATTTCCTTGAATCTAAATATAGGAAGTAGTAGGAATACCTTAAAGCTTCCATCCTAAAAAATTCAGAGGCATTAAAAAAGAAGAGTTCTAAAATCGTGATACAATAAACAAAAGACTCATTTAAGAATTGAGTGAGAAAATGGATTTTTCATATTAGATGGGAGAAGTTACGGAAAAGTAATTTTAATGAGAGAATGTTGGAGGCTGTGGAAACTGTGGCAGAGACTTCTGGGCATGCTTAGTGTTTCAGAAGGTGTGGCTCCTTGTGTGGTCGATTGCACTTTAAAATACCTGGCTCTTCCTTTTCTTAACACAGGGACTCTCCCGTGCCCTGTCCTCTCTCGCGGGTCACATTAGGGCGTTCTTCTGCTTCACAGGTGAAAAGGATGTGAGGACAGGAAAGTGGAAAGGGGAAAAGAGTGATGAAAATGGAAATTGTTCAAAGGCTGAATGGCAGGATTCAGAAGAGCAAAGGCAGGGTCGAAGGGAGGAGAGTGGGGAAGCAGATTCCTGAGCAGCCTGTGAGCACCAGAGGGTGGAGGGAGGCAGCACAGCCTGCTGTTGACACGTGAGACTTGCTCCAGATTCTGCACTTCCAACCCAGGGAGCACTTGCAAATCTGAAATGACTGGATTTATCACTACCAGAGCTATTGGTCTCAGGTGGCAAAAGGCCCCAAGGCAGCCACACTCTCAACCACTTGGGGCTGGGAAACAGCTCTTTTCCCAGTATCTCAAAGCACCAAAGGAAAAGTCAGAAACCTAGACGAGTCTGCTCCAAAGTTACTAGAGCAAATCAAGAAAAGAATATTTCAAAAGAACAGATGTTTTCAGTCTACTGGTTGCTGGGTACATTCATCCATTCATTCAATCCACAAATCCCTGCAGAGGAGCCCCCGAGGGCCTGCTGTTGGCACAGTGGTAAAGTTCCTGTTCTCCTGTACTCTAGAGGGTGCATGGATAACCAATATTTTAAAAAATCAAGTAGTGAACATATTATATGATTCCAAGTATATGAATTCTGGAAAAGGCAAATCTATACAGATAGTAAAAAGATCGGTTGGTTGCCAGAGGTTGGGCGGGGTGGGGTGGTGTGAATAGGTGAAGCAGATTTTCAGGTCAGTGAAACTATTCTGCGTGATACTATAATGGTGAACACAGGGATTGGCGAAAGGAGGTTTACAGTTGTGAGTACACGAAACACAGAGTTTATTTTTGTATTATTTATTTATTTATTATTATATTGTTCATCATTATTATTAACCTACATTGGCTTACCTATTTATGACATTATGGATTTGTCAAAACCTATAGAATGTACAACACTCCGAGTGACCCTAATCTAGACAATAGGTTTCAGTTCATTCTACCAACATTGGCCCAGCAAGCATAACAAATGTTCCACACCAATGCAGGATGTTAATAGTAGGGGAAATTGTTTAGGGAGGTCAGGGAGAAAGGATAAAGGGAACTCTGTACTCTCCGTTCAGTTTTTCTGAAAACCTAAAACTGCTCTTAAAAAATGGTTTATCTGTTTTTTAAAAAATCTCAAATAGTGTAAAGTGCCACGAAGAGAGAACGTAACAGTGAGGAGGCCAGCAGAGCAACGCGAGACGTCTGAGCAGGGGCGCGTGGGAGAGGCTCCCAGGCAGCACAGGTGGGAACAGGAGGTGGGCCTGGGCCTGGCCTCTTTGGAGTCAAGAAGCGGGAAGCCGAGTGCTTTAAGCAGAGCTCTGATGTGCGTGTTGAAAAGATCACATTCTCTGCCGGTGCAGAGTGGCTGGGGACCGAGCCGGGGTGAAGTGTGGGAGCAGGAGGACTCTGGAGGCTGTTACATCAGCCTGATGAGAAGGATGACAGTGGCCCAGAGCAGCGAGTGGTGGTGGAGGTGGAGAGAAGAAAAGGGCTGGGATTTATCTGTAAGTGGAACTGATGGGACTTGCTGTGGGCTGATTCTCCGGGAGAGGGAAAGACAAACATTAGGATGACTCCAGGGCTATTTGGCTAGCTGCCTAGGGGGTGATGCTCCCACTTCCTGGGAGAGGCACACGCTGGAAGTGGGGAGCAGTGAGGAAGTGGTACTTCTAAACTGAATCCCAGTAGTCTGGAATGAATGAAAGAAAGCAGTGGAATGATGTACATTTCAAACACGACCTTAGATTTTAATATGAAAAGATCACTTAAAAATGAACAGAGAAGCCAACCATCAGTACACAGAAAGGAGTTCATATTGATGGAAAAATAAAAACTACCTAATATAATAGACAGGATTAAGATGAAGTTAAGTTTATCTGATGCAATTTAGCCACTGACAAGTCAACAGCTCACATTTAGGAGCATGTCAGATGTTATTCTCTAAAATAAGCTTATCTTTGTAAATGTTCCAATGTTTTTGGTAATGATCTTGATTTAAAGTTAAGTTTCTTGCTTAGATCTGTCAGCAATAGTTATACTGTCACTTTTGTGATTCTTAAATACTTATATTCCCGTTCTGTTTCTCATTTTGTTGATTCCATGGCAAAACAAAAGATATAAGTGGGGCCTGGCCAGTGTTTCTCAGTGGTTAGAGCATTGGCCCTTGCACCAAAGGGCCACAGGTTCGATTCCCAGTCAAGGGCACATAACTCTGTTGCAGGTTCGATCCTGGCCTGGTTGGGGTTCATTCGGGAGGCAACCAATCAATGTGTCTCTCTCACATCAATGTTTCTCTCTCTCTCTCAACCTCCCTTCCTCCCTTCCACTCTCTCTAAATATCAATGGAAAAAATATCTTCGGGTAAGGATAAACAACAACCAAAAAGATATAACCCGGAATTTTTCTAGGGGCATTCATTATACTTATGAAAGACCGCCTTATTTGCATCCAGCCTTCCTCCATACCATAGAAATAAAATGCAGGTGGACTTATTATGAAATCACACAGGAACTGCTGCACCGGAAGGTTTCGTATACTGTGTAACAACAACACAGGGCTCGGCCAAATTCTTGAAATGCGGCATATTGTTCACTCTTAAAATAAAATCAAGCCCTGGCCGGTTTGGTTCAGCGGTTAGAGCATTGGCCTGCAGTCCCAAGAGACCCGGGTTCGGTTCCTGCTAAGGGCACGTACCTCGGTTGCGGTTTGTCCGCGGCCCTGGTTGGTCGTGCGGGTGGCAGCCACTCAATGTGTCCCTTTCACATCGATGTCTTCCTCTCTCTCTCTCTCTCTCTCTCTCTCTCTCTTCCTCTTTCTCCCTCCCACTCTACCTTAACAAAAAAAATGGAAAAAATATCCTCGGGTGAGGATAAAAAAAATAAAATAAAATAAAAAAATGTATGCTGCCAGGCATAAACTTAGACAAGCATGACATTTCCAGTGTATGACTTAGCACCTGTCCAGCGAGAATGTACAGTGGGTGGAGCCACAAACGGACAAATACAATTTTCCAAGAAAATATGTGTGGGCAACTTCCCACAATAATAGCATCTATCAACTCATTTAGACCTTGACCTGTACTTAAAGGGTTAGTAACAAGTACAAAAGTAATCATGAAATGTAGGGAGAGATGTCTGTAAGCCAGATTGCTTCCGGGAAGCACAGGAAAACACACGAAAACAGCTGTTTGGGTCAGTAAAGCGCTGGCACGTTAGGCCACAGAAGAGCCCTTCCTGTGTCATGCAAAGAGTTTCTCTAGTCGTGACCTCTTAGGTGAGCCAGGAAATTCCAGCTCGGGCCACCTGCTACAGCCTGAGCATCACTCAGTAACTACATGTAAGGTGGACATCAATAGCCACGCTTTTCTAACTTGTTATGTATAATCTCTAGAGATCAAAAGAAATGGGATTCAATTTCTAGCTGGAATTATTTGGTTCAGAACCATTTTCCAAAGTAAGTATGTGTCTCAAACTAATTTTCAAATTTTTTTTTTCTGTAAAAATAATAGTCACTTAGGTAAAAATGCAATCCCTTTACTAAGAAAAAAAA